CGACGGCGCCGCCGTCGGGACCCCCGTGTGCGAGGTGGGGGTACCTGGGTGGGGACGAGGGCAGTGGGGACACTGTGGTGTTGGTCAGGTTGGGGTGGTGGGAGGCCACCCACGGGTGTGTGGCTGGGGGGACCCCACTGGCCCTAGGCTGTGGCATCCGCTGTGGTGGGGCTTGTGAGCCTTCCCTGGGGGTGTAACTGCAGGGGCAAAACACGGTCCATCACCAGAGGAGACCCCACCCTGCTGCAGCATCCCTGGTGACACTGCCATGGCAGGTAGTTGTAGCTGGTCCCTTGACCTGTTTGTGACAGGTGGCTGTGCTGCTTTGGAGTAGGCGACCCTTCCCGTGGGCCTTGGCAGACTGGGGTGCTGGGCTCCTGCAGCAAGGTGTGAAGCGGAGATGTAGCCCTGCCTTGCACCTGACTCCAGGCGAGGGGATGTGCCTGGGACAGCCGCAGTCGGCCCTTGACAAGGGTTCGCTCGTGGCTGGGGGCTCCCAGCCACGGTGTCCTCTGCTCATCCGGCTTGGGACGACATGGCAGGGCATGACGGTGTCTCCCTGACCCTGGGGGCCAAGCCCTTCTCCTGGGGTTGGTGAGTGCGTTGCAGCAGCTTTGCTCCCTGGGATCGCCCAGCGCCTGTTGGCTGTTGCATCCTTCTCTAAACCTCTGCCCTTCCCCAGCTCCAACCCTCCTGCGTGGTGCGAGCGAGGTGGATGCACACAGCTGGTCGTGTTTGCTCTCCTTTCATAGGTCCCTGCATTTAATCCCTATATGGCACTGGTTACTTGTTTACCTCTTCTGCACTGTAATATTTAGTTCTCATTTCTGTCCTCCCATTTCCTGACGGAGATTTGTGGGTGGTCACAGAGGCACTTTTTTATGGTGCTGTGTGTGCTCTTGGGGCTGGTGGCACACAGGAGTGGTTTCACATCACTGGTGGCTGATCGTAACCAGGAGGGCTGTTTGACACAAGCCTACCGTGCGTCCCTGCGGGCCATTTGGAAATGCCGCTTCCTTTGCACAGCACATGCTACAGTGTTCGATCGTGTGGCACGGATCCAGCTGCTTCGTTTTAGAGAAATTTAAATATTCTTGTTGCAGCTTTGCTAAACCACTGTGGCTTTGGCTGCTGTGGTTTGGCTGCAACTTTGCAATAATAAGGAATGATAAAGCCCTTTAAACCATTTAGGATTTTCTTGAAACAGTTGGTCCATAGATATCTGGTAATCACTGTCTTGTTACATCGCACTGCAGCATTTCCAGTCTCTTAACTTGTGTTTCAAACAAGTGGTGGCCTTTTCACCAAGCACTGGTTTCTGAGAAGTTTAAAAGGGAGGCTTGGGCTGGAACGTGGTCCATGGGAGAGTTCTTGGAACTAAAGGCAACTTCTGCATCTCAGCTTCTTTATAAAAGGCTGCTCTTGTCTCTGCCATGAGCATAAAGCTAGAAACCAATTTCTACATGCGGAAGAGTAGAGAAGAGTGTGGGGGGGGTTATGGGGGGTTTTTTGTTCTGTGGTTTTTGTCTTGGGGGGGGTGGGTTGGTTTTTTTTCTTTTTTCAGGGATTCCCTTTATAGAAAGACAGCCAGGACAATTAGGAAACTCTGAGACGTTAGACAGAAAGTGACTTTCAGATGCTTTCAGTAGGCATCTGAAATGCTACTAAGTCTCCAGTTATCAATGAAGTGGGTCAAGTATAATGTTCCAAGGGTGGCTTTGTGAATAAAACACTGGCTTGCGATGATTATTCCTTTGCTGTAGATTTTCTCCGTGACTTGGGGGAAGTGGCTGCAGTGCAGATTTTCGATCTGGAGTGCATGACTCAAGTTTTAAGCACTTAACTTCTATTTTTTTGTGTTCTTCAAGTCACATCTGAGGATGAGACTGAAGGTGCCCAGCTACCTCAAGTGATGTGAACATAATGGAGAGTATTCTGAGTCTGTGCCCCTTCTGAGAAATGTTGCTTTTAATGAGTTGGCATTGAAACTGTTTATGTGGGCTGAATCTGGAGGAAAGCCTTTTTTTCCACTGTGGCATCTAACTGGAAAATTTGGATATGGTTTGCTGTCAGCAGCAAGTAGTTGCTGCAATTAGAGACAGGTTATTAAAGAAAAGAAAATAAGTGGTTGCACGTGATACCCTGTTAGCAAGGGGCAATGAGCAGGATTTTCATGCTCCAGGATGGGTTTGGGAATTTCGCTCCTGGGGAAGGAGGAGCAGAGGGAGCTTGGTGGGGAGGGACTGGAAGCAGCAGAAGCTGATGCCTGGTCAGGAGGCCTCTCCCTCCTCTAACATTTTCAAAGTACTGTCTTGCCAGAAATCCAAGCTCATCCTGGGCCGGGACATGTCATGGCAGAAAATTTAAAGTTATTTGAGCATTGCTAACCTGTTTTTGTCTTTTTCATTTTGTTCCCCTTGCTTCATCCTGGATGTCTAAAAGGACAGTTGGAACCAATAAATGAGGTGAGTTAATCTGATGATTCACTCTCCGCTCTGTCTCCTCGCTCCATCCTGAGGGGATTGTCTCGTATTTTCTGACTCTTCACTGATGTCCTAGATATAAGTAATGCACCACATTTTGGGCTGGTAATTTTTTTTTTTCTTCAATGTTCAGATTTTGTTTATGGAAAAAACTGTGTGTTTTACTGGAGCAAAAAGAAATGTTCTGGTGGAGTCTCCTCTGCAGATCTGCGTTCCTCAGAGGAAACCCCTTTGTGTGGTGTGATAGTGCCTTTGTATTTGCACACTCGTGAATACTGCAAATGTTTCAAGTATTTTGAGGGGGGTATCTATGGAGAAATTCTCACATGCTTTATTTCTTCAGCTTCTTAGGAATATTTCAAGGTCACATACAATTGTAAAGCAATTCGACCCTGGATGTGCACGTGCTGTGCTCTTGGCAGCTGCGTGCCTCTCCCCCCGGTTACTACAGAGTGGTGCCCTTTATTAGCAGTGCCCTTGTGCAGCTTAATGAGCCTTCTTACAAACTGCAGAAGTTGGAGCTGGTGTGGGTGGGAAACGGGTTAAGGTTTGGCTTTCTGCTCCTCTTGAAGCAAGCAGAGCTTTGAAGTGGAGGGAAGGCTGTAGGGATGGCATGGAAATGGGGCAGCAGCCTGTTGCCCCTCCGATGGGGTGCTCGCACCCTGTGGTTGTAACAGCAGAGGAGCACTGTTACAGGTGATGCTGCCAGTGCCACCATGGAAACCGAAGAAATGAAATACTTTTCTGGGTCAAGTAACTTCTTTAAAGAAAAAAAGTCATTGAAGATTCTTCATTAAATTAATCATCATAGCAGAGGGGAGGCACGTGGGTAGCATGCTTTTGCTAATCCATTTTAGTGGCAAGTTTGTCGGGTTGTAATGCTGTATGTGTATAGATCATACAAATATTACGTGCTGATACATCTACAGGGACGAAATGTGTTCACATTGCTGTGTTAAGATTTTCAAATTAAATAGACCCTTGATGGATTAAATTGGAGCTTTCACTTACCTTCTGTTTTTAATTCCTTCTGTTGTACATTTCCCGATCTATTAGTTTGTTGATGTGTGAAAGTATAAGCATGTTTCCACTCTAGCATATTGCTATGCCATAGTCTTTTGTAAATCACGCTCTTGCCAACCTACATAATAGTACATTGCTACTAGAGGGAAAATACCTGCAGCGAATGCTTATTTTCCTGCCTTGTTATGGCATCAGTGAAGTTGGGCTGGTAACTGCGTAGCACTTGTCTGTTGATATAGATGGAATAAATATAGTTCTTAATGTTCTGTTGCAGAAACACAAACATAAATACAGCTGAATGTTATTTCTCAATAGCTATTGATGGGTTGTAATCTTGTACTTTGGTTTCCAATGGCTTCAGGGTCTGCTCGCTAGAATCTCGGATCTCTTGCTGTGCCGGTGGACTTGTAGAAATTGTTGTCAGAAGTGTTTCGACTGTAGCTGTTGTCAAACAAATGAAGATGAAGTTGAAATCCTGGGACCTTTTCCTGCTCAAACTCCAGCCTGGCTGTAAGTTTAGAATCATAGAATCATAGAATCATTAAGGTTGGAAGAGACCTCCAAGATCATCGAGTCCAACCGTCAACCCAACACCACCATGCCCACTAAACCATGTCCCTAAGCGCCTCATCTACACGTCTTTTAAATATCTCCAGGGATGGTGACTCAACCACTTCCCTGGGCAGCCTGTTCCAATGTTTAACCACTCAAATTGTGCATCATTTAGATGCACAATTTCATAGCTTTAACTGAGGAGTAGGACTGTTCAGCTGTGATGAGAGTATTGATACGAAATGGCGATAGGACATTCAGAGGACACCACGTAGAAAGGACAAACCTCCTGCTGAGGGTGGGAACGTAGGCTACTCAACGACAAGGTGAAAAAGGGCAGCCCTGTTAGCTCAAATAGTAAGGTTAGTCTTTGTAAAACACTTTTCTGATGAGTAAGACAGAAGCTATTTTGTAAGGTAGCATAGCAAGCTGATAACTGGTTTAGCTGTGCACCCTTTTCTAACGATGCTTTTCATCTTCAGTCCTATTTCCCCTTCAAATGGACCAGCCCTTTGGAGCACTTCAACTTAGCTGAAATGCTGATGAGGTTGTTTTGAAACATTTTCTTATCCTAGCGTAAAGGTGGTTATCATATAGGCAGATGAAAGGCCTACCTCTTGCGTGCTTTAAAGGGGAAATTCATCTAAAGTTTCATTTAGCAAGACTTGATCTCCTGCATCATCTTAGTACTCTTTAAGATTTCCTCTTGAATCATTAAAGAACAACAGCGGCAATGCCGGGTTTTATCTGGCGCTTTGATTAGTGTTTTTGCAAATCTATTACAAAGAAAGTCAGTGAAGTCTTCCCTGTTTTAATCCCTCTCATTTGGGAATTTGCAGCAGAGGTGACCCCATGGAGGCATTACTGAAACCAAGAAGGGAGCAGAGGTCTCCTGTCTTTTAGTGTTTGCTCTGTCGGCTGGGCCAGGCTGTCTTCTGTGAGAGCAGATCGTTTGATGGACACAGCTTCGGTGTGTCCAGAAGCTGTGGCACAAGAGATGCCTATTTAGTGCCTCATATGATGCTCAGAAGTTGGTACCTAGGCACTGAGACCTATTCTGTTAATTTTATCTACTCCTGTGAGTACCTACTGTTATTCTGTGTCAGGTCTGGAAGGTCCATGTCTTGGTAATGCATGAAATACATTGTCTCATGTTTAAATCGCAGATTTGTCTATATACTCTTTGGAATCCAGGTAGAATAGGATGGTAATTAATACTGAAGCAATAAAAATAGAGATGTTCAAGATGTGTTAGAGTGGTTTTTAAATGTGGAGCAGCATATTTAAGTCTGATATATGCCTAGAAATTGATTCACCTGCAATTAATGGGAAATGGAAACAAGATCGATGATAAATAGGAAAGCATTGCACACAGGAGAACACAGTGATGAGGTTGCAGTATTGGACGTAGAAAGATTGCTGCAGGAACAATTACATACTTGGGAACAAGTAGCTAGACTTGTTGTGAGGGGATGCTTCGGAGTTTCTCTGGTGTGCTGAGGAGCAGAAGGGACATCGTGTATTTGGGGTGTGGGGTGATTGTCCCATGGTGTAGTTTTCGACTGCTGGATCCATCTGTCTGGCTAAAGGGGCATTGTAAGCGTTGAAGCTCTGTTCTTCTTTTGTCAAAACTCAGATGTATGGTGACTTTGCAGATGAGCTGGACTTTGCCACAGGCAGAGAACATGGAGACCTTTGGACTCATAAAATGCTCTCTCCAGCCTGTGTTGTTTTCCCCCAGTCCTGCTCCAGCTGAAAGCCTTTACGATTAACTTATTGGAATGGCCAGAAGCAGAAGACAACGCACTCTGAAAAGAAAAAGCCTGGTTCTTCAACCATGTTGTGCTTTATGCTGCACCTACTCATGCTAGCAGCCCTGGGTAGGGTCCCTGGGACCCCAGCCTAGGTCACGTATCCATCTTCCCTTCCAGCTTCAGGCGATCTGGTGCAGTTAGGGTCTCCCTGTTCTGCTCTAGTGCTGAGAGAAGGCGAGTTCCCAGAGGTAATGCCCAAGAGGGGCAGCAGGTATCCAAGAAGAGGACATATGAGAGAAGTAGCTTTGCTTTGCGAGGAGGCATGGATGCTGCCGTGCCTTAGGATCACTGAAGTCACCGTCTCCTCTGGCACTGTTGCAAGTCCTGTGGTCTCTAAGGACACCTGTTAACACACGTTGATGTGGAAGCTGGAGATCAGGCTTTGCTTGCTTGAAAAGGCTGTTGGCTCCTCTTCTTGAGCTGGGATGGACCCAGGGTGGTGCCAGGGAAGATGGCGATGCTTTAAGCTTGCAGGGTGACTTTGTTGGAAAATGGTGAGGGAACCCAGAAATGAGTTGAGTGAGGAGGGCAAAGAGAGCAGGGGAGATACGGAGAGGGAAAGGAGCTGAGGGGATGTGATTGAGAGGAGACAGCGAGAAAATGAGCCTGTAGAGGAACAAGAGTCTGGAAGACGAAGAGGAAAGGAGAGTAAGAGGCAGGAGGCAGAAACGGTGTATTTTGTTTGCTGATCAATAGGAGAGCCACGCTTTTTGTGTGTGCAGGTTTAAGGTGGAAACGATCCCATGCAGCCTTTGCTGGCTCAGAATTCAGAAGCCAGAGAAGATTTCTATTTTCACTATGTTGATCTTATACTCTTAAAGCTCCGTATGCATTTTTGGAGGTAGGAGACAATGTCTGGAGTTAGATGTGTGAGCAGAGTAAGGGTTTGGAATTGGTCTCAGAATAAGGTGTTTAATGGGTATGTTTTTAAGTGCTCAGAGATCTGTGTATGTCAATTGACCCCTCATCCTTTTTTTTTTTCCTTTTATTTTTGAAAAGGGGGCTTTTGGGTTCAGTGGAAACCCCTAAAATGGGAGATGGGTTTCACCCCACCGTATTCTGCATTTAGATGTGTGCATTGAATTTGGGAACAAATCAATTGATTGTATTCCTTGCTCACAGCCTGAAAGTGTTTTAAAAATAGATCTAGGTTTTCAGCTGAGATCTTTCCATCTTGGCACTTCTTCATGGGCCCAGGACACTGGTGTAATGCAAAATACAATTTGCTCCTTCCTTACCTCCCCTCCTAGTCCCCAGGGGAAAACTGCTTTTATGGTCTTCATTGGCCTGCTAGCAAACATCTGAACGCCTGTGCTTAATAATCCATCCTTTATTTTTTGCCTGTAGGTTTTCCGTTCGGCAGCTCTGAGACACCTCATTGTCCTGGAAATTCAGGAGGGGACATTAAAGCTGCAAGTTTAAGCCCTTCCTCTTGGGAGCCTGTTGATTTTTCTCACTTCCTGAATTTTTTACAGTGGCAACTTAGAAAAAAAAATTCTTACTGAAGTGAGTCTAATTGTATTGACCTGAATGCATGGTAACTTCTTGTTATTTCATGAGGAGTGCTTGCATCCTGGTCTTTGCAGAAATGGGCTGGGAGCGAGGGTGTATGTTGGTGCTGCCTGTTGTGGAATATTCTACAAAAACTCCAAAGATAAACGATGCACGGTCTGTGAGACTGAATTGAAATCAGAACGCGACTCCTCTTCCCAAAGGTTCAGTTTAAACAGAAACAGAGCTGCTTTAACCAGAGCCAAACTTTATTTGAGGAAAAATTATTGTGGCTCAGTAGCAATTTCCTTACTAAAGGTCATCTGTATGTTATTAACTCACTATTACGTTTACCTGCTGTAGAACATCCTTAATGCCTCTCTTCCTGATTCCCTTTTCACCCTGCCTTCTCCTCATTCTGTGCATTTGCTTCTCAAACACAACAATATCCAAATGCTACCTATGATTGTGTAGACCCGCATTTAGGGATGAAAAAGCTATTTGTGTTCCATGTACTGATTATATGTCAAACTGCATGATTTGGACTGCCTTTAATGGGCTGCAGAGTTGTGCAAATATTGTGCGCCTCTTTTAGCATAGGGTTTGGTTTTGATTATTAGCAGACTTTTTTTTAATGTGGATGAGTTGTCTGACTCTGGGTTGGTGAGATTTGCATGGATCCTGCTGTGAACTTTGTGAATTTAGATAAGAAATTCCAGTTTAAATCTATTTTATATTTGGGGGGCCTTTTCTGTGAGTTTACTACTTTTTGCAGAATATATTTATTGCTCTAATCCAGTCATTGGTTACTAAAGCAAATGATTCAACATATTTCGTTTATACCCAACCGAGCCATGCACGTAGAAAGGGTGAATCGGGAGCAAAACTCACACAGTGTTCCTCTTTGATTTGCTCATTTCAAGCTGATGCTTTCCTTGTGATCTGCTGCTGTTTTTTGGAATACTCTGTACTCTGTCTCATGGATTAACCAAAAGGCTTATTTTGCATGATGCACCACACATCACATACCATTGTGTGATTTTATTTCCATCGGCAGATGTCTGCCAGCTGCTCCCCTCTGAACATGCGGTTGGAGACTTTATCTCCTCTTCTTGTTACTGTCTGCTCTTGCTCTTCTTTCAGTCAAGGTTGGGAGGTCCTGACTGCTTTTGTGAGCCACTGCAGCTGTGACACGTTGAGGTTTTTAACCAGAATGTTGTTTTATATGAAAAAAAGTGTGTGTGTGTGTATATATAAACTGAAATGGGAATTACATGTGGACTTCTTTGATGCCAGTCTTCTGTTGAGTCTTCTCAAAGATGCTACAGCTCTCACTGCAACTTGCTTTGTTATTTAGATCCTGCCAACTTTCCTGCTCCCACCAAGGTCCCTGGGCAGTAAAATTACTATCTTGTGAGAATCACCTCTGCTTTAAGGAAGTGGATAAAAAGCAGCCAATTATTTTAAAAGGCATGTCAATAAATAGCTGTGAATTAATTGTATTTATAAGATCGAGTTTTGAAACCTTAGTGGTGTACCTGCAAAGCAGTATTTTACTGAGAGAGATGTGTGATAGGTTTGAGATGTCTTGAGTGTGGTGGTTTCCCGTGCTGGTTCATTCCTAGTGAAGGCTGTGCTTCCAAAGTGTAGCTGTGAATTTACAGCAATAAGCTCCTGTTCAGGTTTTGTGGTTTGTGGGGTTTTTTTTTCCCCTTTCTTTTTTCTTAAAGACAAATATAATACGTCTGATCAAGATCGGAGTCACACGTGCCTGTGTGACCTGTGTCATGCTCTAATACTGATACAACTGTTTGAAAGACAGGAAGAAAGATAAAGAATCTGTTTTTTACATGGGTCTGAAGTCAGTTGCTCAGCCTTTTGCTTGCCAAATAGATCAGGAGATACCCCACAGCATCCAGGGATGCGCACCCAAGATTAGACCCAAAAGACCAGAATGCATTTTTATTCTGTATATGCTCCATTTACTGGGTTGACTCACCCAAAGGCCTCTCTTTGTAACAGGATAAGCAGCCAAAATGAGGACAAAGATGGAGACTCTGATAATACAATCAGTGAGCTGCCTCCCACTCTTCAGGATGTTTCCCCTGACAGAAGGCGGTCGTCTTCAGATGCATCACGGTCCACTTACAGCCTCACGAGGCGGATTTCAAGTAAGGTCGTCCTTCCAACATATAATGTAATTCTTGTGGAGAAGAAAATCAAACTGTAGTGCTTGCTCTGTCATCTTTTAGACAGGGAATCAAGTCAAGTTGAAGGTACGTTGATTAAAATCTCATCCTGTTCTGCAGGAACACAGTGGAAGGGGCCAGCCCTGTTTTTCTTGCTGAAGCATATGCATGGTAATTGCAGGTGAAAATGGAGAGGGGGGGGGGGGGGGGGCAGGGAAGTGTAGCTGAGCTTGCACTTCGGCGTAACTAAGGGTGCTATTAATTGTTAGCAATGTAATGGTGAAAAGTCCCACTGGGGAGCCTGCTGTGCTGGGCATTGCACAGACACAGAATAGCTGTACCCAAAGAAGCACAAGTTGACTTGCGCCTGTAATGGCTTCAGCTGAGTTTCTAACAATCGTACTTGTGCATTTCTCTCATTTAGGTTTAGAGTCGAGGAGGCCAAGTTCTCCGTTAATTGACATTAAACCTATCGAGTTTGGAATAATAGGAGCTAAGAAAGAAATAGTTCAGCCAACTATCCTGCGAAAAACCTATACCCCAGATGACTATTTTAGAAAATTTGAACCAAGACTGTACTCTCTTGACTCGAATAGTGATGATATGGACTCCTTGACAGATGAGGAGATCTTATCAAAGTATCAGCTGGGCATGCTGCATTTTAGCACTCAGTACGACCTGTTGCATAATTATCTAATAGTGCGAGTCATTGAGGCTAAAGATCTGCCTCCTCCAATTTCTTACGATGGTTCAAGGCAAGACATGGCTCACTCCAACCCCTACGTGAAGATCTGCCTTCTTCCTGATCAGAAGAACTCCAAGCAGACTGGAGTGAAACGCAAAACGCAGAACCCGGTGTTTGAAGAGAGGTACACATTTGAAATCCCCTTTTTAGAAGCCCAGAGAAGAACTCTGCTTTTAACCGTAGTGGATTTTGACAAATTCTCACGCCATTGTGTTATTGGCAAAGTGTCAATGCCCTTGAGCGATGTAGACCTTGTGAAAGGCGGACACTGGTGGAAAGCCCTTGTGCCTAGTTCTCAGGTAACAGAATTTATCAGATTATTGCCACAATTTTTCTCACTTTTTTTTTGTGTGCAGTTCCTTTGCTTGTTGGCAAGTAATGCAGTTTCTAATTAGTCACTGTCATCTTGTTAATACAGCATCTGCTGGGTTGAAATAACGTTGGGCCTAACTGGTCTTATAGCTAATACTGTGAGGTAGAGGAGCTGCCCTCTTTCATATTCAAAGGAGGTGGCATGACAAAAGATCCTGTGTCAACTCTAATGAGAATAAATCAAGACCGCTTTGGAAGCCTGCGCCTTTTGGAAGATCACTGCAGTGACCTGCGTCTGTTCCCAGACACTGCAGTGACACTGTCCCATCTGGGTCACCCCTGTGGTTGTTAACAAGACACTGCTTTGGGAACGTGAGTTGAACCACTGGTGCCAGTTCAGTAGTAATTTGATGCAAGAAAGTGTAGAGAAGACACAATCTCTACAGACTTAAGGCATAATGCATGAGCAAAAAATTGCAAGGTAATGGTAGATTTATTTTCATTGTGTCCCTGAAGGATATAAACTTGCCATAGATTTTGTCTCATGTAAGTGGCATGCTGCATGCATGCAAGTTTGAGCATGCATTTTGGACTAGATTCAGCCATCAAATGGGATGAGAGGAGAAGGTGTAGAGGGTCTGTGTGCTTCCACATCTGTTCTCAGGATAGGGCCCCGGTCAGTGCCACCTCCTCTCCAGTCAGGAAAAGAGCCGTTGAATGGGAAAATCTGAACTTTGCAACCAGGAGCGGCGGTTAGTTACCAAATTTGCTACTAGCCGTATCACCCACATAGCTAGAGGCATAGGACCCCGTAAAAAACCAAGCTAAGAGCTTGGCATGAGCATCATCTGAGGCATCTGTGCTAAGGACAGGAATACCACTCAAGGTCGGTATAACACAGTTGCCTCTCCCAGTTCCTCACCAGCTCTGGGATTGCAATTTCTAAGTTTTAGAGCCTTTGCTGAATCAAAACCCTGCGTGAACTTGGATGCTTCACAGTTTCTTTGATTTTTATGTGTTCACAAAAGGGTGGCATAGCCAGAGGTATCAGACAAGATGAACAGTAAATCATTGGCCTCACTGCTGATTTACGGTGTGGGTCTGAGAGTCTGATTTGGAGTGGAAACTTGTGATCAGACACTTGTGGAAGTAAAATCTACCAAGCAGTGTTTATACGTGACCGGGTCTCTGACTCTGCTTTGCCCCCTCTCTGTGCGCAGAGGGATTGGAGAGCACTTTTACCTCTTGCTCAGACCTTCTGCAGTGTGTAAGGGAGAAGAAGATTAAGATCCCTGATAACTGCAGTAGAGCCCACTGGATTTTCTGTAATAGGAGTGTTACGGGATTAGCCTGAACATTGTTCGTGAAAACAGGAAAGTTTTGAAAGTTGTGCACAAGTCAAAATTGTGGGGTCCCTGAGTGTGTCTTTGTGTGGGACATGTCTTCATGTTAAGTGGGATCTGCTTTGCTCGGTAGAGTGGCAGTGGGGGGTGAGGGGACAGCTGTGTTACAAAATGATTCATAAGGAAAATGAACAAGGACAGATATTCCTGGGCTCCCCTCACTGCCTGGGCCTTTTCCCTAAAAATGTTTATTTACAAATGTCTGCAACAATTTTTTTCTTTTTGGTATTCGTGGTTCATCACAGGCTCTGCGTTGTGTATCTGAGGACAGAGCTCTCCTCTTTGCATCCCGTTATCCTCCCGTGATTTACACTATGCAGCCTTGCTTCCCCCCCCCCGCCCCCGCTTTTGCATGATAAATACTTCTCTGTATTATGTATCTCTTTATTAGTAACACAGATTCATTCCACAGCTAATACAGACCTTGATTAGACAAGATCATCTCTGCCTTCGTGTGCCAAGCTTGGAGCCAGCCCTTCCTCCCTCCCTCTCCAAAGTTTCATTGAAAGCTGCTGCTGTTTTCAGCAGTGCTGTCTGCTTCACCAGGATTCAAGATAAATTATTTATGCAGAAATTGGCATTTCTGATATTTATAAAAGGAAGGAGAAAAAGAGAAGACTACCTTTGAATGGGCAGGCCTAACCTTACAAGCCTTTTGCATTTATCTGCTTGCTATCGTATGGAAAAACTTAACTTAAGCAAAAAGTCCTTCGCACCTTGGTTACTGAAGTGGCTTGTTTTGGTCTTTTCATACTTCCTTGTTCTTTTTGGCTGGGCCCTAGCTGACAGGCTGCAACTGCAAAGAGAACAACAGTACTTGTCCTAGGATATCCAGGGATGATCTTTGGTATCATCTTCCCATGTTTTCTCAGTGATAAGATTTTTAAAGTTCGTTGAATAAGGTGTATTTTCTCTTAGTAGTGATTAAGTTAAATGCATTGATCAAAGGGTTAAAATAAGTCCTGGAAGAAGTAAAACAATAAAGCTTATTACTTTGAAAAACTGCATTTTAATGTCTTTCAATAACAGTGATGCTTGTGCTAGAAATTTGTGAGGTTTTTTTGATTGCTAGTTGGAAGATTCTGCCTGTGGAATGATAGATTTGACATGTTGACAACTTTCTTTATACTTATCACTTTTTTGCTTGATTAGTTGAGGGATGGACAGCCTGTATTAGTTTCTTGTTGGATTGAACCTGAGTCACTTTTGATCATGAGTTGATGAAAATTTTCCAGGCTGGGTTGGCTGCCCCGGGGCTCTGACACGGAGCAGCAGCTGGCAGCAGCACCCCCCCAGTGATAAAGATCGTGGTGGAGAAAATGCTGAAGCAGGTGCTTGGGAAACCAGTAACAGGCGGGAGAGAAAAACAGTCAGGCATAGACATGATATGTAAAGATGAAAGACACAAAATACGTGAATTTTTTTTTTTATTGGCATTTATAGACAGAAACATGATGAGCTGGAGAGATGGAGAAAAGTGAATCCAGATGGCAGGAGCTGTGGAGAAGGTTCTCTCTTCATACCAGTGGGAGTAGGATGGGGCAAGGTCTGTGGAAGAGCAGAGAAATGGCCTAAATGGTATCAGCTAAGATGAACATCTGTTTTGCACTTGCTGTATCCACCTGGAAGCCATTGCTATGGGGTGTGCTGATAAAGGCAGGTGCTAAGTCTTTCTCCCACCCTTGCACTGAGCCCCATCAGGCCCAGAGCTGGGACACTGCTTCAGTACAGGACTGTGCCAGCACAAGTGAGCCCTGCTAAAAAAGATAGGGGACGCCAGCGATCTGGTGGTGCCGGTGGCGTTGGCAGGGACGGGTGGGTTTCTCCCAGGCTGAGGCATGGTCCAGCTTCTGCAGCCGATGACTGTTGACTCCACTGCGAGCTGGACCAGGATAAGCTCCTTAGGGCTGTGAGATGGGATGTACAGCTCCTCAATGGGTGAAAGCCCATCACCATTAATAGCAGAATATCTTTGTTACCACTTCATGGAGTTGCTTGTTAACTAACAGCCTGAGAGCTTACCTTGAGTGTAACGAGGTGGGCTGTGCAGCATTGCCATGCTCGTTATGTCGGGAACGGGTTGTCAGAGAACCCAAATATGGGTGAGCAATGTGCTGTCCTCTCAGCCTTGAGGAATCAGTGCAATTAAACATGTGATGCTAAGATTCAGGCAAAAGGCTGTATCTGTGCATAAGTGCTTTTTTAGCTTGGGTTGTGTGTTCAGCACTTGGTGGGATTGAGTCCAAAGCAGAGGCACAGGGGAGCTGCCGTCCAGTACATCATCAGAGCCAGCAACTAAGCAGAAGGACCTATTCCCTGTAGAAAATGTCAATGCAGGTATTGCCAAATTCTTTGTCCCTGGTAGTTCTGGGAGGCTTTTTCTTGCAGAGTAATTAATATGTTTCTAAAGCGCAGTAGCTGCTCATGGAGTAGTTCTTGAGTCCAGTCCCCATAGGAACACTTTGCACTCCTTAAATATCCCCTTAAATGTGTGTGGCTTTGCTTAATTACCATGAATGAAGTTGGCAGGCCTTACTGTAGCTGGGTTCAGATTCACACATTTCACCGTTAAGATTAATTCTGAAACACATGTTCAGGACCCCAAGTTTTATTGACATATGATTCATTTCTCTTTTGGCAGATTTGAGTGGGCAGGAATAAATGTTTTAGACCAGCAGTAATGAGAGCTTGGAGATCATTCTGCGAAAGAAAAAAAAAATTGCCTAGTTGTGGTGGGAAAATAGCATAAAAATTCCTTCTCCCCTCAAATTAAGCCGTTTTTATAGTAGAGGGGGTACGTATTGGACTTGCTTTTTTAACTTTGTACTATGAGTGCTCTAGAATGACAGTCATTTATAAGGAGCTGTCAGCTTCTTACGTTCAAAATGGTATGTGCTTCACAAATGGAGTGGCTTTCCTGCGGCAGCTCTACAATTTTTGATTCCCATCTCAGTGATAAGCCTACAACAAGTACTGCACTGTTGTTCTTACCGTGCCTTGGTTGGGAAGGAAAAGGGAGAGAGAAATTTGAAATCAGGTAATGAGTCATTTCGGAGCATTTCTTTTGCATGTTATGTTGAAATCTGCTGTGCAGCCAGGTGGTTATGGCGAGTGGCTTGGAGGCCTCCAGTTGTGCATGTACCAAGTTCGTCCTTGGCACCCTTGTTCCTTGGCTTATCCATTGCAGCCCTGAGAAGGGGTCATCCTTGGGGAACGTGGCTGATGCCTTGTGTTTGGCAGCACAGCATATTATTGAAAATAACGCCAGCACCCCTCTCTCATACAGGCATAAAGCACTGGACTGATGTAAAAGTGGCCAGGCAGAGACTTGGTTCAAAGAGTTGACACAACTCAGGGCTGTGTGCATCAGTGTGGAACACTGTGTGTTCACAGTGGTCTGTGTTCATGACACAAACATGGGAAATGAAATATGAAAGTGAGTGTTGTCAGGGTTTTTTTCTTTTCTTCCTTTTTTTTTTTTTTTTTTTTTCTGTCCAAAAGCTTAGCAGCTGCTTAATTAAAGGAATGATGCAGAATCACTGATGATGAACATGGCTTGGTTACGTGGGGGGCTGGTTTTTTTC